TTCCTGCCGCAAGAGGATGTATTTCAGAACGCCCTTAGGCTTCAGGATGATCACTGAGAATGTCAAGCGCATGCCAGGCTCAATGTCTGAGTGCCTCCGGGACTGGATATCGGTAGACAAACGAAGAGCTTGTCCCAAGGTGCTCTCAAAAGCGCAAGCTCTGAAGAGTTTGGCCCTCCAAGAATCTGATTCGATCACAGCTACTTTCAGTAGCGACATTGAACCGTGCTTCAATGCTTCGATGTCAATGTTTGTCTCTGCCGCGGTCAGCGGAGCTCTGGCGAAGCTGCCCCATCACATTCAGCGCGACGTGACAGCATACGGCTTCGACGAGCAAACTCCTGTTCTTAGAATTCGGGCCGAAGTATTCAACGGATCGGTCTTGAGCCTGATCATTCTACTTTGCTCATCGATCTGGTTGTTGAGTGACTCATCGTCTTTCGGAGCATTTCTCGATCTACTCTTCGTGTTCTCAAGCTCTGGACATTGTCCGAAAAAAGTGAAGAACACCGTTGCCTCAGTGGCTGCCTTGTGGATCTTGGGAAGCATGTTCTTCTCTCAGATTCTCGTGGACGACATGACCTCTACGTTCGCTATACCTGGCGAATGGCGAGTTCAAAAGCTTGAGCGTTGTGGAGTCGACAAATACATAAGCGACTCCCGATTGTACAGCGTTACGCCGGCCATTCGGTTTGTGTCCCTGGCTCTCAGCGCCAGGAATCCTTTCGGCGCAAAGACGATCGTATGCGGTTCACACTCTGATCTGGATGGGATACGTAATCTGCTCGGCTTCGCAAACCTGTATCGAATATCTTTGGAGGACGCTGCTCAAAATTTCATTGTCCTCCCTCGGAATTACGTACTGCTTCGTGGGACCGCCAGCGGGGTCGTGAGGCTCGATCTTGCGAGCAGGTTCGTGGATAACAAGGACTGGAATGAGCTTGCTTCCATGATGCTGGCTTACGACCTCTTGAAGTCACCAACTGAGACGATTCAGAGGAGAACTATGAGATCAGTCGGGAGGCTTCTGGAGGAAAGATTCAATTGCTGCAAAAGCAAGCGAAAGGCCGCTCGCGAATTCCAAAGATACCTTGCTACTTTCGGAACAGAAGATCGAGAGCGAGCAGCAGTCGATAATTTTCCGATGAAATTTCTGTTGATCGCGTACTGCCTCTGCTGTGTCTGTCTCTTAGCCGAGGTCGCGCTCCATTCTGCCGGACGCATTTTCACGGAGAAACGACCGGGACGAGTTCATACCTCACATCGCTACATCTCCCGTCCATGGCGTCGAATTCGACAGCGTGCCTTCAGGAGCGCTGCACGATAGCTCCATGAAACAAGCATCATACAAGAGCCGTTATCGCAAGCGACTGAGTGCATCGCTCTGTCCAATATTGCAATTGACGAGGAAGAAACGGACTGCCTTCGATTCTTTGTTGCATATAACCTTGCCGGAGCTCGATTATGCGCAGGCTCCTCATTCACACGGGATAAAGTCTCTTGTTGACCCCAGGAGAGTCAGATATAAACTCGTTGTTCGATCTATCTATCTGGCCAATCAGGATCCCTCCATTGCGAAACTTCTCATCAGCAGCCCATGAGTCATGTTACCCATGAGCCCTGTGCTAAGGACGTGAATGGTCGCTCTATAATGGGCTCTCGCCCCTCCCCACCCACGTAGTTTTTACCGACTTTCATGAAGTATAGCGCCGTAATATATGATTCTTCAGTGAATGGAGAATCGATGACAACTTGAGTTCCTTCTTCCCGAAAGAAAGACCGTTTGCAGTTCCCAAGTAGTACATGAAGAAGACCCTTCGGTGTTTGGACTCTCCCGTCAGGGAGGGAGCCGTGGAACTTGTCGATTCACTTGTGGTAAACTCCTCGGAGTGGCTTCCCTGAGAGCTCATCCAGTGAACTCCGTTCGATCCTCCGTCTTCATGAACTTCTTTCCTCTGAATAGGAATGCACGGAGTACGTTCGTAGATGGGAGAATCGAGTCTCGGCGGGAAATTCTCGTTGCCATGCCCGTCAGCGAGGCTTGTGCTGAACATTCTCAAGCCTCCGTCGTTTGAAGACTTACCTGAGAACGACCATGACCGAGAGCAGGCTTACAGGTACAACGTTCATGAACACGCATCGCGATAAATATTTGTGCATTGAGTCAATCATAAATAGATTCGGGTCGAAGCAAACCGGCGAGTGAACTTCGTGCCTCGACAATACGCTTTGATGAGGCTGAGAGGAACAGATATCAACTCCGGATTGGTCCCTGCTGAAGACGAGCCATTCAGCTCAGATATCGTCGATCGAGTTGCCTAACAGTAACATGCATATCACTCATTGTATACATGGCGTAAAACCGAGCATACTACACCGCAAAGATACATGACCGAGCGTGGCAGAAGATGGAAGGAAACTACGCCCCCCCCCCCAAAAAAAAACCCTGGATCCGCCAGTGGACGACCGACGATATGGATGAGAACATTCATATCGCCAACGTCCAACCTATGATCCCGCGAATGATCAATGTCGGTGGAGAATAAATAAAGCAGGTTCAGCTATGAGCTAAACCGAAGCTCGCGTCGAGCTACGTCGATTCGATTGAAGAGACAAAATTACTATCAGCTAGCAGTGGCTGAAGTTCTTGTCCCAAGCATTGAATCAAACCGAGTGGTACCGCACCGTCACGTGCAGCTGGGAAGAATATTCGTACCGTGCGTCGTTCGCGTGCGCTCGTGCGCTCCCTCTCGCTCTCAGAGAAACCGAAACAATTCACATGGTGCCGTGGCCGAAATCCGTATCTGACCGAGTGCAAGGACGACAAGATACGACCCGAGGTACGGTGCGAACCTCAATCAACGCTTGAGGACATCAGAGGCCGAGCCGAGCCGTCCAGAGAAAACCCCGACGTGAGAAAGGAGCTGAGGACGCTTAGTCAGCGACGGACGATCCGACGATACAGAATCAAGATTGAGATCGCCGGAATTGAAGGTCTGAGCGACGGGAACCCGGAGCTCCTCGACAATTAGAGTCCCGACGTCCTCTTGGAGGTGATGACACAGCATCTCTCACGGGTGCGCGAGTTCACCGAACAGATTTGTGGGCTGCTTGAGGATGAAGATCTTGGAGGATAGATCTCCGAGTCCGATGCGTTTGAGGCGTATCCCGAGATCGATGCTGTCTTCGCGAATATTTCGGCTGAGGCCGAATGGAGTGCGAACTTATCGTCGAACGCCGCACAAACATTCTACAAAACACCGCAAGGCGTGCGGCGAGTTCGCTTTCGGCCTGCGTGCGAGTCCACAATTCACAATGATTCCACCGTCGACCAACAGGCAGACTCCCGAAACCCAAACAGACGACACTTCGAGCTCGACGAGCCTTCACCGAGGCGCCGAAGAGAACAACGTCTCGAGCCATCCCGTCGAGGGTACCGTATCGGCACTGTATAAATCAGAAACTGCGTCGCCTAAGGAGTGACTCTTAAATTGAAATTCGTTAAGATGTCCGGACGCTTGAGGACGCATCTGGTGGAGCATCCCCCCTATTGCAATCAAAATGCTATGTCTCTCCGTCTGTTAGCTCTTTCCCGGCTCTTCATCTTCACCCATTCCTACTCCATCCTATAGAATGAAAACGCGATGTCTCCCCGTCTGACAGCCGTTTTCCGCCTACCCGTGTGCGAGTTGATGTTTTCTTCCCTCTATCACCGTCCTGCCCAGAGATTGTCGAAAAATATAGTGGACTCGGATATAAGAGACACTCGTTTACATCGGACTATTTTCGGGGACCGGTCCCCACATCTCGACGCTTGCTAGTAACCCATCCGCGCTTCGCTGCGGCAGGAAGGCTGATCGATACCACCAGCGTCGCCTACTGCAACACACGTTTGTATATGAGTTTTTGTTACAATCGTAAGCGAGTGACCGCATAACCAGATCATCGAATTCCGAGAAATTCGCCTGACCAGGTAGCGAATCGTCCCTGACATCCCAAGCCGTCTTGCATATGATGGTGATTAATAAATCTGGACTGCCACCGGCCCGAACATTCGTCTTCGTGTTTTGTGCTACTCATGCATGTGGCGTGGGCTTCTGATGGAAGTCGCCGGAAGGATACCTGTGTTCCCCACATGATCGGAATTCAAATTCCCGTCTGTGTCAATCGCATCTCCCAAATGAATGGGTTCTTCGGATTCTACCCGCTCGCGCTTCGCTGTGGTATAAAGACTTCCCTATAACAGTAACGTCTAACGCAACACACCACAATCATTAGACTTTTAACTTTAGTATTGGTTAGCCGGTGGCGGGATCTCAAGCTCGTCGAATTCTGAGAAAACACTGCCTGACAACCACTACTGTCTATCAGATATTCTTGGCTAGCCTCGTCGGCTGGTCCACCATCATTGAAGCTGGTGCTCCCCATCGAGCCGAGGACTACTTTGCCGCGTAACTCTCCCACAGTCACCGACTTGGTAGTTACGGGATAGCCTCCCATGTCCGTCATCTTTTCCACGTGTCTGTTAGACGGGTCGAGCAGGACAATTCTTTTCGAACCGTCAACCAAGAATGCCGTTCGTTTCTTCTGAATCGTGCCATCGCGGCATGTAATGTTTCGAACCGGGACTAGATCAAACAGAATCGCCGTCAAAATGAGGCATTTTTTCTCGATATTGAAAATGTTCGCAATCGAAGGACAGAGAGATTGAGCTCGCGGAATGTCTTCACCCCCGGATTCTTCGATGACAGTGACCTTCTCATCCTTCTTTATACAATCTGTTGGTTCTCGAGTTCCTCGGTCATAGAATTTCTCATTCGTCTCTCTGCCTGCAGTGAGGGCTTAGGTCACTTGTTCTGGGTCTATGATTTTTGGCTTCAATTGCCTGGTGATCATTGGTGTCCAGTCCGCGCGTGTTTCGACATTAATCTCTGTGCTGGAGATACCCAATCTCTCGATCAAGGAGTATTCCTCCATTCGAAAACGGCCGCATAATGCTCCTAAATTCCATACGTAGTCGTCTTCAAAATCGCTTTCGCTTCCTTGACGGCTCTTTCTGCGAGACCCTTGCCCCTTGGATAGTATGGGCTTGATGTCACATGATTGATTCCGAATCTCTTCAGAGTATCTGTGAACTCGTAGCTAGCATACTGCGGGTCATTGTCACTCCGCAGAGTCACGGGGTACCCGAAATGTTGAGATACGGAGAACAACGCTTTCAAGATCGCGTTCGTCGATATCAAGTTCACGGGCACGATTTCCCAGAAGAAAGAGTGATCATCTACAACGATGAGAAAATTCTTCCCTCCGTATTGCATGAGATCAGTGCTGGCTCTCTCCCATGGTAGTCTGGGGGCCTCACCCTTCATCATTGGTTCGCAGGGATTTCGTGGTCGGTGTTCCTCACATAGGCGACAATGTTTCGCGTACTCTTCGATATCATGCGTTATTCGAGGCCAAAAAACTGCGTTCCGAGCCCTCAACTTCATTTTCGTGCAGCCCGAGTGTGCTCGGTGTAGTTCTTGTAGGACGTCCTCTCTTTCGGCGTAGAACTACGCCGTACGGCTCGGTTCGGAAAAAAAGCGTCACGGAGAGGAGGAAAAACTATTCCTCACTCTGAAAACTATCGTAATGGAGCTCACCTCACTGCAATTTACTCTCGAAACGCTTTTCCATTTGGAAACGCTTGCGATTTCTTCCTAGGCTTCGACTTCCAAAACGCGCCAAAATTCGAAAAAAAACATTAGGTCGCGAAGTTGCCGGTGGCGACAGTGGGACAGGAATCACCGCACGGGGAAAGCACATTACCGTGAATCCTCCAATAATGACCCGGGCCTCTAGTTTTTCAGATACCTCCGGCGAGGGGCTTCTATTGGAGAGGGGCTACTATTGGAGGGGGGCTTCTAACATTCCAAGAGAAATCTTGCTCCGGGGAATCGATGATGGGTTTCTGGGGGAAAACGTGTTCCCGGTCTGGGTGGAAATCCTTGGGCGTCGCAGTCCAGATTCTATCACGTCAGCTTTTCCTCAGCCGACTTCGGCAGTGCGGGGTCTCCTAGTAGAGAGGGGCTCCTCTTGGAGGGGGGCCTCTATTGGAGAGAGGCTTCTTTTGGAGGGGGGCTTTTATTTTCTCAAAGGTTCCGGCAGGAGGGCCTCTATTAGAGAGGGGTTCCCATTGGAGAGGGGCTGCTATTGAAGGGTTTACGGTGATCGAGCATCGTCGGATCATCTCACCATAGCCAGTCGGATCGATTGCATACGCGAACAGGGAAGATCCCCCTCGTCCAGTGGCCGTGACGCGAATGTAAGAGAGACCAGGACCGAGTGGCGGGTCGGTCTCTGAGTCATGAAGTGAAAAGGAGTCCAACAGCGACCACTCTCTACGTGAAAGGTCATCGCGAGGAACGACCGAGCATGGAGGGAAGAATCTAGCGACCACGAGGCCGCATATCCACTCTACAGTAGCAGCGGTCGGCGTACCTCCGCCATTCGAGAAACTGGAAAGAGCGGCCCACTGCAGTGGGCTCACGGTTAAGGAACGCCTCGGAGAGCAAACATCCAGGATAATGAACCTTCCGAATCGACACAATTGACCCGCATTACAAACCAGTTTGACCTGTTAAGTAACTTTCTCAGATTTCTGGAGAGAATCGAAGCGGATATCCCAGGTCTCGGGACTTCCGAATTCTCTTTTTTTCTGCTAGCGCTTCGACCTAGAAATTCTTCGAACAACTTCAGCCATCGTTCGCTTATAGTGATTTTGTACCTTCAAACGAATCGACGTTGTTCTACGCAAACATCGGTTTGGCTCGTAGTCAAACCTGCTCTAAATTTTTTCTTTGGGTACGACTATGCGGTTCGAACGGAAAACTATTCCGTCTTCCACATGAATCTCTTCTTTGTGAGGCCAATATTGACGGGCGATTCCCGGGACTTCACACATGTCATTCGGCCAACCGTGGTCGAATAACTGTGTTAGACTCCGAAGCTCCTCATCATTTGCCGTTGCTTCCCGATACTCTTCGAGACGGTTGTCGTGTACAGCGATTTCAGCTACAACCGCCGTCGGCATCCCATACTCATCCGTTTCCGAACTAGGGTTACGGGATAAGTGGTCCGCCACCAGCAATTCCTTACCGGGCTTGTATTCCACATCTAATATCATATCGTTGCAGAGTTATTCTCATCTTTTGTAGCCTTGCTGGTACTTGATCGAGCGTCATCTTCATTGTGGCCTCGAGGGGCTTATGATCATTTTCGACCCTGAGGTTCGGTTAACCCAGAGTATAATAATGGGATTTGAAGCGACCAAACACGATTGCCAATAACTCTTTCTCTGTTTGAGCATATCGTTTCTGGCTCTCGGCGAGTGAGCGGCTGGCATAGGCGATCGGTTGTCCAGATCGTAGCAGACTTCGCCTAGCCCGTTCTGGGAGGCGTCCACCGATAGAACGAGAGGGATTTTCGGGTCGTAGTATTTCAAAACGTTGTCTTTGGTGAGATCTTGCTCCAGATCTTCGAACGCCCGTTGTTGCTCTGCGCCCCAGATGAACATTGCGTCTTCGTCGATTAGTTTGCGCAACGGGGCCGTCTTTTCTGAGAATTTGGGGATGAAACGTGCAACGTAGCTCAGCATTCCCAACAAGCTTTACACTCCCCTTACATCCTTCGGTGCCGTGAATGTTGATATATCTTTCACTCGTTCTTCATCCAACCGGACGCCATCTTTCGTTAAGATATGTCCGAGGTTCTTCACCGCTGGTCTTTTGTTTTTGCATTCGGCTCTATTGAGCACCAGGCCCACTTCCACACATGTCCTGAGCACCTCTCCGAGCCTTCGATCGTGCTCCTCTTCCCTCGATCTCCAGAACAGCAAGTCGTCCACGACGCATGTCACTCCTCCGAGATCCCCGAACAATTCATCGGTCAGTTGCTGGAATAAGTAGGAGGCGCATTTGATTCCATATGGCACCTTTGTGGAGCGGAACTTTCCGAATTGACATATAAAGGTGCACGGGAGTGAGCTTCGTCTATCCATCTCGACCTGCCAAAAGCCCTCGTCGGCATCGAGCGTGGTGAAGTATTTCGCTTCCAAGAGTTTCCCTAGGACGTTGTCCAATCTCTTCATTGGATGTGGACTTCGTTAGATGAATCGGTTGAGCTGGGTTGGGTCGAGGCATATCTTTAGCTTACCATCAGGTCTGAGGACGGGTACTATCTTGCTAAAAAATTCCGTCGGCTCCCTCAGCGGTACGCGGTACAATGACATTTTTCTTGAGCATCCTTTGCAGTTCCGCTCGAACTGCTCTATCGCAGGTAGAGCTGCGACATTCAGGCACTCAAAAATCGAGAAAGAGGCAGGCAAAAAGGCATAAAAACAGCCGGGAAAAGCGCTAAAATTAGGCAAAAAATGGCAACAAAGGCATCAAAGAAGTACCGATTTTTTATTCGTCCTCACCATCGATTAAGTTACACATCGGTATTATGTGATATTTTGCGTTCTCCTGAGTCAGAGACAATCTACGATCCGACATCAACATCTTAGACCTTGAGAAGGATCGCTCGACATCGTCGCTCACCATAGGAGCATAGCGGAACAAAGTCGTATCTGCTAAGGTGAACTGGGGCGGAACCGGCCCGTGAACTCGAACGACTGACGAAATTTCTCTGAAGACACCATAGCCCTCGTTGTTTTGCAGAACGCAGCGAAGCTTCGCCTTGATCGGACCGCTCTTTGGTCCGACTGCGGCGAAGACAGAAGTCTCGATCTCTTCCAGAATACCGAATGTTGTTCCAATGGGCTGCGCAGCACATTCCAGTTTTCCGATAGCCTCTGCAATTTTTCCGAAATGCGTCGCAATGTACACTAGCTGCGATTTGAGCTTCGGCTCCGATAGCAGGTTCTGGGATGTAGCAATGGAGAGCGCGTCTTCGGGATCAAAGCTCTTCAGAACTCCTTCGATGCTCTCGAAGTTCTCCGCATAGTAACACGCAGCCTTCAGCCAGGTGCCCCAGCGTGTTAAAACGGGCTCTGGAGGCTGACTTCATGATGCACTCTCGTCTCGGGACAACAATCAACGAAAACTCGTATCTGATGATTGATAATCTCGCTCGTCTCGGAGACGCTCTGAACGCTTGCTCGCCTGAAGCGCTCGCGGTGCAACTGATGGTGCATCGACTCGGCGTGCCCGAGCTTGCACATGCACGTTCAGCCCTGAAAGGTCTGAAACCGGGTCATAGTATGAATTTGAACGACTTCTTTCCGAATCGGAGAGTTCTGGACCTATCTTCTCTCCCGATTCGAGACCGAACCCGCGTTCTTTCTCACAATTTTGAGCATTCCGAGCCACCTCTCGACCTCTCAACCCGTGATGTCCCGCTTCCACTTGAGCCCCTTGGGCCTTTTCGTTGATTCTCTGATTGCCAGTCGCGAGTTCGAAACCGTTCCGTACCGTGATCTTCGTTTGGTGAGCCGTGGTACGAGAGACTCCATGACCTTCGACGAGAGGGCCCCCTTCTGCCACGCTGCCGCTCTGTGTCGCTCCAACCGGACCTCGAACCCCGCGCCGCTGCTACTCCCGGTACGCATTCTCGACCGCATTCACTGCTGCCTTGGTCAGCTTGCCCTCGCTCGGCTCGGCCCACTTGTCCCCCC